AGGGAAATAGAAAGAGGTTTAATGCTATCCGCTATATATACCTTTGGCTATGGGTGGATCAGAGGAAGTGCGGAAACAAAAAGTGATTATTAGAATAAATGCATCAACAAAGTTCATACTTGACAGTTTATGTTATCAACAACCTTTTCAAAATAATTGATTATTCAATTAAATAATTAATTCAACCCGACAATATCTTCAGTATATCTAGTTACAGCCTGTGTTATTATTCATTTGTTTACCTAAACTTATATTGCTATCCAGGATAAGATCGACTATCATTCAGTGTAAAATAATTAGCGGAAAATAAAATCCTTTTTAAACAATAAATTCTTTTATGAAAAAAAGAAAAAATAGAAAGAGATGATGCTGACCATTGTCGCTGAATGAGTCTTGATTTTTGTCTTGATTATCGTAGTAGAAATTAAAAATTAAAGATTACCATTAATCACTAAATATCTTTTTTCTATTGGGATATTAGTTTGATGACAATATAAACTCATTTTAAAAGAGTATACTATCGCATTTATTTATACTCTACGATACTTTCTTCATTATTGGCTCAATGATGACAATAAATTATACTCATGTATGATAAACTCTAATATAGCTTACGTTACTAACTTGACTGCTAGGGCATAAGTACTTTCAATTGGTAAAGGGTAAACCGGATCAGAGCCATAAAACGGATTAGATATTTAGTTGTACCCTAGATACATCGGCAACTTCCACTGTCACAACTTGCACTCTATATTTCTGAACAAGGTTTCCTTCCTTGTCAGTTCAACGCCTAGACGACTGCTAGAATGGTATATCCTTCTTTAAGGTACCGATACGTAAGTAGATATAGTAATATACTGTATGATTAAACAATAACTCAGCAGTAAACATCAATGCGAAACACTTGATTAATTGCTCTAAACTACTGTTTCATTTAAAAAATTATTAAATAATAACGGCGACTTACAGGTCGCAAAATTGACTGTTTTTATTAGAATAACAAACAAAACGGTAACTCAGTAGCTACTAGGAAGTCCTTAATTAATTAATCATAAAGAAAAAATTTATTCATTCAGCTATTATTAAGCAATGAAATGGCGCTCTCAATTCCTCTTAGAAATGATTCAATAATCTTGAATTGATTGTTTTCATAACTGATGCCTTATATACAACTAGTCTAATTGTTTACTTTGCCAAATTAATTTATCCTTCCATTAGCCAATCCTGTCTCATTATTGTCGTATCTATTGCATAGACAAATGTAATACAGTAGTAAAGCCTACGAGTATTCCCAATAGTTAATTCATTCATCAATTCAGCCTCTTTTCAGACGGCAGGGGACATAAAATCCCTATTCTAATAAAATATAAATGAAAACTAGCCTAATATCTTTACAACCGTTTTCCATATACTCGAAATCACATTTATGATATGATATCATGTAATTTTGGAAAACTGCTGAACATATATCTTAATGTTGGAAGCGCATCAAGTAGTTTCAATATCTTTTAATCATTCTAATAGTATGTATAACCTTAAAGCCGCATCTGCTAGATTAATATTTTTAATCTTTTAGCTACTATACTTCATGAGACTATGCTTCGGAATTGTTAAATCTAGGAATTAATTTTATAGTACACAAATTTTTTTGTCCTTTTGTTGCAATCTTAAGCTGCGATGTTCGCATAGAATACAAGAATGGCACCGGTAATCAACTCTGCTTGTATTATAAACATTGTTCATCGTCCAGGGCTATGATAATGTCAGTGTTAATAGCACCTTCAAATGTCAAAAAAAATTAATAAATAATCTTTCTTTTAAATATAATACCGTCCGCAATTAAGATTAATGTTGTTTTTGAAACTATCATTCTCTAAAGATTTTATTAATTATTGAATAATTACTTGTAGATGTTGCGATGATTATTAATATTGCACTTATCCTTTAGTGTTTAAGCATTGAATATTATTATGCATTTCGCTGTATCATAACGATACAGTTGATTTGGATTCTGCTCAATTGCAATGTGATCAATTATCAGAAATAGTTTCTTAAGGAAACAAAAGATGAATCGCTAACAGAATGACCTCCTATAGTATCGAAATTGATTATTCTTTAGGATTGCAATTAACTTTTTTCCATCTTTCCAGAAGACAATAATTGAAAGAAGAAAACAATTAATCATGCTTTCTCACCGCTTTCGCTATTTTAATAGCTATCATTATTCTGTTATTATCAGTAAATTCAACTCATGCTTTAGGAAGTATTGGATAATATTGCTTATTTTGCTAAGTCATACTTGATGGAATACGATAAGATTCTGTCAAATTGCAACGTGATGATACGTTACACGATATAGTTCCATAAGCAAGGATAAATTGTTAACAGAATTGCTTTCCACAGTATGGAAATTGAATATTGCGAAGAAATTTAATTTAATTTTTCCTTCATTTTTACAGTAAACAATAAGTAGAAGAAGGAAATAATCAGTCACGTTTTCTTACCACGCTTCACATTATAATATTTATCATTATTTTAGATCTCATTTATAATCCGTATTTTATCAAGTTGATGTGATAGATTCTCTTCATTAAACATAAAGAACATCTGAACGAAGAAATTAGATTAATGTCTTACTCAATGTTCTCTCATTAGTTTCATGGATATTTGACGCTCTTTCAATTAAGGGAAATCTACTTTAAATATAAAGCACATACTCACATTACTTATTGTTTATTGATAGCTAACCCAACCCATTCAAAATATAGAGCGAATAATGTATCTGTCCAATTAATGTTATACTCAATATAAAATCATTTTTATCATGTCAACAAAGTTGATGATTTAAACGAATTAAGCAGGTTGCAATTTAGACTATCTATTACTTCATCTTAATTAACGATGATTATATAATAGTACAATTAATTATATGAGCCGCACAATAACACCAGTATCAAATTAAACATCAATAAATGTGTGTAGCCCCTGATTTAATTTTATCCTATTCGTAATTTTATTCATACGGTTTAAAAACTATCGTATTCAGGTAGAACCTTCTCTAATAAGACAGAAACATACAAATCATTTCCGAAGGAAAGAGAGCAATAGTCATACCGTAGAAATATTGCAAAAGGGATCATTATTAAATTATTATCTTCGTTCAATTCTCCAATTTAGAGGCAGATATCGAAAGAATCTTGAAAAGATCAGGATTATGTTTCCTTAAAAATCAGTAGCATCAAACAAGATAAATAAATAGGATATAATATATTCTTTCATCTTTAAGGAGATAGGAATACTGATAAATTTATTTTATACCCTGGGGAATAGACATGCAAAGAAGATGTACTATGGATTTTCTGTACTGTACATTTTTAATAACCATTTTATAATGACATAGTTGTAGCTAATATCCAAATAACATTTATAACGTCCATTTTCCGAACCGTAATTGTTAGCGCCTTTGCGTCTAAATGCCTTCAGGACGCGAATTTTCGTCTTACTTTCCATGTTTGACGTCAGAAAGAACAAATGCAAATTGTCACTTGATTACAAATAATATCTTTTTCCAGAGCGTACTGGCAAATTCTTTGCCCTATTTCAAGGACACCCTCACTTAGGATTATTCTGTTTAATTTCCGTGAACATAATGTGGGCGCTTCCATCATGAGGCAATTTGGATGGAGGAAGATTTTCACATTTCCTCTTTTCCTAACGCTTAAAATTTAGGAAATAATTTTATCATTTCACATTTATGCATCTATCAACAATAGCTTATCCTCTACTCTCTAGTACAATATTTTATGACAGTTCCAAATCTTCGTTTGTCGGTCCCATCTAGCAGAAAAATGAGTAAGACGAAGTTTGCTTGCTATCAAATCAAATGAAATATTTGAATTTGAAACAAATTCAGCTAGTGCGAATGAATAAATCTGTTTTAATCACTATTTGATACTAGTTACACGTAGATTTTGTCATTTCTAGTATTATGAAATTATGTAGGATACCAAGTATTGTAGAATTTCAATATTTTAATTTTAAATGCAATACTCACTTATCAAATGATTGATTTATTATATTATGTTTATGTCTAAATCAAGAAGACAGATCAATAGATCAATTTACGCCGGTTTTGCCGGTTATCATATCATCAGGCTGCTTTAAATTATTTCTTTAAATGGAAAAAAACTTCATATATACAAAAATTAAGCTGCTAAATTGTCCTAGTAGTCCTTATTCTATCAGGATTATTCACTTTCATTATAGCTAGAGCCATATATAAGCCTGAAAGACGGCTAAAAATTGAATCGAAGTATGATCTATTCCTTGGAAATATCATAAGAATCGTGTCGAAAATTTGAAACCTCCATAATTTACGCCCTCTCCACACTCTAAGAATTGGTTGGATAAAATTAGGTGTTATAAATATCAGGTAATTACATAAATATTGTAGGGTAGCTTAACTTGGGTACTATGAGAACTTTATATCAGTTCTTACCCTTTATTTAGCCAGAGTCCATTTTCAATCATTTTCATCCGGTCTGTTTCGATCGATTCGCCATAGGAATACTGGCAGAATGGCCAAATAAAAACCATTAACTTCTATCATATCCATAATAGGATTCTATTCTATGTCAAAGGTTGGTTAAAATATTATTCCACTATTATTTTAACGTATTCTGACGATATTGTTACAGTATAAATGTTGAAGCCACTCCAAATTCGTTACTCGAAAGGAATAGTATGGACACCTATACACAGGATATGACATAAAATTAAAAATAGGCAGGCCAACCCGATCTAATATGGAAAGTTATTTTTGGGAATTGAGAATGGTTGTTAAGTATAGATCTTATCTGTCTTGTATGGATTCTTTTTTTATTTAGTATTTGTCTATGCTGAAGCTTATTTAATTCCTGCACATAGGAACAAGTCCTCATAGCATAAGTTCGATTTGAGAGTACTTTCATCTCGTTTTCACCATCCACGAAATATTAAAGATGCGTTCATGTTATAGTATAGCCATCGTTGTAGCTCTATTTTTTGCTCATGGATATGGTCTTTATTCTTTAGCGAACAATAAAAATTCCGAAGCCATCACCATCCGAGGAAATGGTAAAAGAGGATCGAAAAGCACTCATTACTTGTCATTTCACAATTTTACAAATGTTGATAAACTTGCCGACACTCTAGCTCAGCACGTTAATATAACCCATTTGACATTGGAAGACGGGCAACTGGGTCATCTTGGAGATCAAAACTGGCCAATTTTACCATTTCTAACTACGCTAGATATCAGTCGTGTCCGATTTGAGGAAATTAACATAAAATGGCTATCTCAACTGCCTTCACTAACAGCTTTAACCGTCACCAATTGTCGACTCCAGCGCATTCCCAGTAGCCAATATCAAATCTTGCCAAGATTGAAATTTCTCAATTTGTCCCATAATCAAATCAAAAGGATTTTATGTCATGATTTACGATCCTATCCCGGTTTGCTGCAGTTAAATTTAGATTTTAACACAATATTCGATATTGGTAGCGACAACTGCTCTCGTAGTCTATTCCCTTCAGCATTGCGAAGGTTATCCTTAGCGGAAAACTCCTTTCAAGAGATTTCTATTTATGCCTTTGATGGTCTACATCAACTAGTTAGTTTAGATATTAGTTCTAATAAATTACAAACCTTCCGTCAAGGTACCTTTGAATCACTACCGGCTTTAAAATGGCTCAATTTCGCAAATCAGAAGATCAAGAATAACCAAGCTTTTCATTACAATCCCAAAATATTCAAACCCTTTAATAGAAATACAGATTTGAATGTTACTATTCATCACATAGCCCAATGTAATTACTGTGACTTATTACTACAACTACAAAATTGGCTAATTGGTGTTCATCACCAGTACCAAATTTTAAACTACAGAAAAATTCAATGCCACTCTAGCAGTATTATTTATCCTAATCGATTAATTGTCTCTCTAGATGATCTAAATCGCACTTGTTCAACTGATGATAATAATACTCCAAGCGTAAATAACAGAGGCGAAAATTGCTGGTCATTAATTTTCTTTTTCGTGGGTATCATTTTCATAGCCATGGTAATTATTATTTGCGTTCTGGTTTATGATCGATTTCTTAGACAAAGATCCTTGCGTAAATGTTCGAATAGTAGTTGTAGCTCAAATTTTGCTGCCCGGACTTCGTCTCAAGATGCAACCAATAGCAATACACCGTCGTTAACTAATTCAAGTGAAAATTTAAGAAGATGTCAATCGCTAAACACTGATGGCTATATGGACGCAGCATCATCGGTAAATTCATGCCATATTAATGAAACCATAGATCTTCGTAATATGCCAAAAAAATTTCACTTGAGCGACGATATCCATTCTAAACTACAAGCACTTGGCGTGAATAATCCACAGATGGTCATTAATGAACTATTTAAATTAAGACAGCAAGATTCTGAAATGTTTATAAATGAACAAACACAATCCATGAATAATGAAACATATAAGAAATCAAATCAACATAATGGAAGTAATATAAATTTGAAGGATGATGATGAGAGTGATTTAAGTAATGTTGATATGGAAACCAAAGATCCGGATGCAGTTGTGGAGCCACACGATAAAAGAGGAAGTCTACCATATGACTGCCTACACCGGATGGTGATCGAGCAAGATCGTGATTCAGATTGCGAGAATAATTTGCAAGGTAATAGTAAAATAGAGACGCCAATAAATACCTTAAAAATAGCTAATTTATGCATGATATTAATCAATAAATTAAGATAGTATCTAAGACTGCGTTTATAGATATTGACAGTGGGATGAAAAATGATTTGAAATGTTACTAATAATCCTATAGGTGAAACTAACACTATGAGTAACCAACTAGCAGTAATGAATACAGAGAGTAATCAAAAAGAGTTGGCAGAAAAGGGAGAAAGTGATAATAATACAACATTGCTTAAGATATCGCCAGTAGAAATGGAAGATACAGAAGGATGTCCTTCTCTTAAATTTACAACAGTCTCGAAAGAGCAAGCTTATGGACAAGTTAGTAATTTTTTATATGTATAATAATAAAATATCATATCATGATAGTTCTAGGTATAGTAGAAAGTAAAGTGTTCTGTTTATTGATTAATTATATGTTGTTAAAGTTGAATGATAATTGACTTCAAAGACTATTTATTGCCTTAATTATGGTGCTTTTCAGGTCGAAAATACAGTTCAGAAGATTCCAGTAATGAAAGTCTAGGCTAGAATTATAATTTAAACTTCCCTGACTCTAGTTGTAAGTTTATTGCGTTTTATTTTATTTCTATGATTGAAATGAAGTTTATATAAGATGTTACAAAGTTAAACATTAAACATTAAATACGAATTCTACCCCTGCTTTAATTGGCAATTGACGATCTTATGACTGCCATTTTTCTAGGTTCAACAGCCTATCATCTATGTGAAAATGCAAGCTGCCATTACTTTGATTAGCTCATGAAAAGTCATACAAATGCAACTCTCTACTTGATTAGAAAATACCTAATAGTATCGTTAAAATGGGGATAATAATTCATATTGAATATTTCTTCATAGGAGATAATCATTTTTGACAATCTATATTTGAAAGAATAAATTTCAATCAACTCAAATCATGAGAATATTTTAATGGATAGATCGAATTGCTGATTTCTTAGTTATGATTTATTACAGTGAGCATCTTACATATTCTGTTAATTAAAACCAATTTCAATTGTTTTCTTGTCACTTTTGCGATTGGTACACTTGTAACATTAAATTTTGCTAATATTTGATATTTGATATTTGCTAACTATAGTGTAATTTAATGATTTGAAAATTGTAAAAGTTTCTTTTTAGTTGCTGTGATACAAACTATGAGCTGTCGAAGGTTTATTTGACTTGATACGTGTAATTATTCTCTATAGAATTCCATGGTTTTATTTGGGATTCATATTTTAAAACGCAGTAGGCTACGTTTGTTTAGGGTATAAAAAAAGGTAAAATTATAGAATATAATTTATGTAATGATTTAAACTCAAATGTAGAGATTCAACGTCAGATTTTTGTTTCTAGTGATATGAATATAATTTTAATGGACCGGATTATTTCTATGAAATTCTATAATTGATTTAACACTTCAAGCCTGAAATAAAGTGCGGTTATCATTATGTTCTCAATCAATATTAGGAAAAACAAATTAAAAGTATTCGTTAGATTCCTACGATATAAATTAATAGCGACTAACAATTATTGGCTTAATTCCTACTATTATAGACCGGATTTTATAATAGCTACTTATCGATTATGAAGCGTGAACTTTAATATATAAAGTTATGCACATATAGCTAAATAAATTGTTCGTCTAAGTCTGTCATGATCATTTGGTGGCCTAGATTAATTATAAATTTCGAGGATACATACGATTACATGAATGAGTGCGCATAGATCATCGTAACCCAAAATTGTAAAGTAGCGATTGGTAGATGATTTTATAACTGACTTTATAGTCTATCAACCGTTCGAAATGACACCACATGTACTATTATAGCTATTCCTGTCTATAATTAATGCCTACTTGGTATACCACTCTTTTTGCTTTAATTCCTTGGAAATTACTACCCTAAATAATCGACTATATGTACCACATTTTTTGCTTTCATTCCTGAAAATATGGCTCTGAATAATCGACTATGTATAACACTTTTTCAATTTAATTCCTTGAAAGTATTACCCTAAATTTGACATTGCCTCGGCTCAAAGCATTATTACTGGTTTACGTGATTGATTGTCACCAGACACATATCTTTTTAATATGTAGCTTGTCGTGAAATATCTATCGCTTTCATCTCATCAACATTACATCATTGCGACTAATTGATATATTTAGCGGTTAAATTTATATTAATATATTATGATACGTATACTTTTTTATCATGTAATTCTGCAAATGAAATATCTATCGCTTTCATTATATCGTATAAATATACGGACTAATCGATATATTCAGGGGTCAAATTTATTTTAATATATGGCAATGCATATACTTGTTTATCACGTAATTAGTAAATGAAATATCTGTCGCTTTCATCGTACCAAACTTGCAATACCTTGAATAATCGATATATTTAGCCGCCAAACTTATTTTAATGTTGTGCATTTTTTTCCAGGAAGTAGCCGAACACCTAGTAAAGGCATATATTAATGACTGGCTGTAGGTAATTATAGTACCGGCAGTACAGTAATTAATAGCTATTATTCATTAATTTTAAATTTTTTAATTTTTCTTGACATTATTTGCTGTAAAAAAATAATTTTTATCATTAATTTACAAAAAAGAAGAATGAATACGTAAACCCATAGAATTTATTAAACTTTATAACTGTTCCATAATATATAAACATTCAATCCGGATGTTGTAGGCTGGGCTTCTCGGAAGACTAAATGCAGTTTAGGATATATATAACATGAAGGTTATCAGGTATCATAACTTTACTACAGGTTTTGCACTGCTTGACACAATCTTGAAATTTTTGAAATTTAAGAATTCCGTTATGAATGATATTGCTAACTAAGAGTAGATGGCATTGCAGTAGCCCAATAAGTACGCAACTACAGGTTATAGATTTCAATTTTAGAATATTTTCGATAAATTTCTTTTAGCGCCGATAAAAAATAAGTATAGGTTAGGTGTAAAGTACTGCAACTGATATGCGAGGCTAATTTCAGGAGTCATCGATATTTTAACAAGTATTAATAATCGCTGAAAAAATAAATTGCTAGTAAAATAATTACCGCATAAATATTACATTTCATACCAATAAGTAGTACTGACGTTTTAGAAATTGATCACGATTACGTATGGAGGTAGAGTGATACGCAGAATGATGTAATTAATTTGATGATAGCCGAAACTTTTCGAAATGGTTGATCATATTTTGCGATAAGATAAATTGTCTCTTAATTGCTAGATCATGAAGCCATCATAATTCACAGATGTACAGAAATGATTTTACTGTTGGAGTTTACTGCAACTCAAGTATCACCCTAATATCGTCTGATTTTTATCATCTTGAATAATTAATTTGCTTTTACTTAAATTTTACTCCTTTAAAGCCAAAGTTAACAACAGCAGCTACCGTTTAATGAAATTTATCACAGCCATTGTATAACATTGAATGTGTTAACGAAAGCTAAAATTAGATCGTGATAATCATTATAAATAGATTTTACATTTGCGCAAATCCTACTTATGCGGCTTGTTGGTTAGTTACTCACGAAAATCTGCTTCATTAGCAGTAAACAAAACTAAGGTATGGGAGGAATAATGATAAAAATTATATGTATGATACGGTGTAGCTAATATTATGAACCTTTACGTGATTAATCACTTAGTTAGTGGGGTATTGTAACAATTGTTAAAATAACTTAAATATTCTAGGCGGTGGACATAATAATTAAACAACTTTAATAGTATAATTTTGATGGTATACACGTGTTCATGTTTATGACATTTTTCTATATTGATAATAATTAGAATTGATTAAGGACACCTTTCATATGTAATGAAAAGCTAGCTGTATCTTGTATATGGTATAACTAAGTCATCAATGACCAATTTTGAGAAATTGATAATAGCTGCGCATTGCATGACCGCGAATTGTAAGCAAGGCGTGCAACAGGAGATTTCCATCAGCTTGGTAAAGTACTGTAGTGGGTCTATTAGATCAAAGAATGGAAGTAGGAAGTAAAATCATTTTAGCTATACATCTCGAATTCGAGTTTAGTATTTATTCTCATGCATAAACATAAATAATAATATAATCAGGTGATTGATTATTGTAAAATTTTATTTCTTTATTACGATAATAGATATGTTCCGCATATGATTACTAATGGAAACATGTGGATGCAGATTGTAAATTGTAGATTATATTTTAAATATTAAGACGTAACTAGAATTTATAGTCATTTTAAGATAACGATAGCATATCGAATGATTTTTAATAACATTTAATTACATCCATTAACTATAGCATCAACTGATAGCAATAATACTACCATATCGATGTCATAATTCCAGGGTTTAACGGATATACTATCGTCTATTAAAATCGTTTTACTTGCATCTGTTACTTCATTCTGTAGCATCATCATGTAACTACTACCAACTTGAAATCCAAAGCATTGGCATCTTAACATTTCTTTTCGTAACTGGAAATTGTGTATATGGACTTTTGACATAGACTTAAATCTATTCTGTTTATAAACAATAGCTGAACTTATCCTAATGGTTATCCATCCTTTATCCTCTTTTATCGATAGAACTCTACCTTTTATAACTGATCATGAAATAAGAGCATTGGCGTTACTAGTACTATCATCTCATTCTTATCTCAATATGAATATTTTTGTATCAAAGCTTACTTTTAATCTTTTAAATTATTGAAATAGTCTTACCGGAATCTGCTCGGCAGTAACTTTGTTTATTTATTCTCTGTCGGCTATAATCGCATGCTTTACAATCTAGAAAGGATAAAATGCATGTTTCTAAAAGTAACTAGTAGATTTTACTGGCCTATCGTTACTTTGTCACTGTCAGTGGAACTGTGAATGTAATCTACGTTGTGAGAAATTGATTCATAAGACACTGTATCAAAGTATCTGCAGGGCCTATACATATTGACTACTACTGGGATTTAGTTCATTCATATCGGTGATAGATAATTTTCAATTAATTGTAAGTTCTTTCATGACTTACCTTTGAAATAGTACGTCTCTTCTTTGCTTTGTATTCCTATGGAAGAGATACGTGCATTTGTAGTCAGTTTTAGAAATCAGTAGTATACTTATAAAATGAAAGATAATTTAGTTAGAACTGCAATTATAGCATATTAGTAAAATACTGAAATTTTCGATAGCATATTGGTAAATGAGAAATTATACAGTGGCAAATCAGTAATTTTCCCTGAAGAAGATTGAGTACATTATAATTTGTTTAATCAATTTAAATTTATCAGGCCTTTTTAAAGTTACCTGTAAAATTTTTTATTGGGATTCCAGGTTTCAAAAATCGTATTTCTAGCAGATTAGTTAATGCAAAATTTGAAAGTGGAAATTGATAGCAAGAAATATTTTAAATTGCAAATTATGCATCATAAAATTGGCAGTTACTTAATTTAGTAGCAAAAGTTATGCAGGCTTACTGATGCATGGTTGAACGGGTGCTGATGTTTTAAAATATCCATGATCACATTCATCACATTTTAAGCCAACAGAACCTTCTCTGCATTTGCACTGGGCCGTAGTTTGATCACAATTACTATTCAAAGAGCCATGAGGATTGCATTGGCATTCTACTCATATTTTTTTTAGTCGTCAATAATAGAAAATCATAATTAAAGGTTCTTCATTAATAAACTATGCGTATATTATCACGAAATATGCGTATGTAGATATTTAGAGTGAAAGTTTTATAATAGATATATTTATTAAAAAAAATTTTACTAATCTGATAAATAGTTTTTAAATGAGGATCAATCTTAATTACGTACTGTTACAAGGGGAATCTAACTTTTCCGAAGGATGACGATAATAACCACTTTTGCATCGCTCACACTGGTCACCAGTAGTTCCATTTTGACAATCCACACAAATTGGCTGACTCATATTATCATAAGCAGATGATGGATAGAGATCTGTAATATTTGGCGTGCAATTCACTGCGTGCTCATGGCACTGGCATTTATTTATATCAGGTCGTGGAGGAGAGGCAAACACTGAAGTAAATAGTACTATAACTAACAAAATGATGAAAGTAGGGCAGTTTTCCATTTTAGATTACTTTACTTATCCTAACCTTAGATTAACTGATGTATGGCAATGAATCATATTATATACCTTCTGATATTCATTCAGTTCTATTGATGGAAATCAGTCGTATGCTATAGAAGGAAGTGATTATTTACGCCCCCTTTCTATGGAATAACGGTATAGATGATCATGCTGACGGTCAAAATGGCCTAAACAATGCCATCACACTATTTCACAATAGTCATGCTTGTCTTATTTAGCGCTACTAATATAATCCTACATGATATCATCAATCCTCTAAGGTCCTTAAAAGTATACTACAGTCCCTAACGTTATAAATGAATTATCATGCTCATGAAAGAATTGAATGCCACATTTTCTGATATTTTAGGTATGAAGATGACTCATGTTCTTATAAATAATAGATTATATTTAACTTATGACTTTTCTTTATTAAGGTAATTCTTGACTATAGATTACTCTAATTTCAGCGTAATTATTCTATTGATTGAATAATTTATTGTTTTCACCCTTATTAAAGCGATATAAACTATATTTCCATGCCCATTATAAAAACCAAATTGTCCATTCACAGTATCAAATGGACACAGAACAAAATTCATTACAGTCTACTAAGTTCGCTAGCTCACCAAATTTAGATCAGATTTATTCACCATCAATCCATTTAGAGCATTACTGGTAATATTGTATTACTTAAATGCTGTAATATACAATTTATCCTTAAGCGTACTTGACGAAGAGATGCATATATCCACGTAACAATGGCAATCAACGATGCCATATGCCTATATCTTAAAATAATGGATGAAATAGATTACTATCTTAACAGTTCTGATAAATACTGACATCTTAAATTGTAGATTTTTACAATTTAGGTAAAAAAATAAAGATAACTGGCTCACACCATATTTTAACATAAAAAAAATCATAATGTCGCCTCTGTAGAGGAGAAATGTACACAGTAGAGAAAAGTTCGTACCATAGCTACGGTGCAAAACTCATGACACTACCGCGCAAAACTCAAAGTGCTCAAAGTTCTATTTAGGTATCACTTCTAAATTAGTTCTTCCAGTACAACTTCTATTTCGTTTAAAGTAAAGTTAAGCTTGTAGGAGGAGATGCTATTTGCGTATAATTATCTTTGCAGCCTTTGAAATGGACGGAATTAAGAGATGCTGTATTTGGTATCAAGTTGAATGTTGATCTAGGATAGGTGAATTATTATTGCTTGCCAGTAAATATAAGATACAGAATCTGATTTAACGATTTCCCCTCCCCTTGTATTAGATCTTGTAGTAATAATGACAACAGTAAACTCTAGTCATTGTTACTACTTCTCTTTCTCAGAATTTAATAGCTAAACAATCAAGCACTTGATTAAGAATTTGCTGGCGATTAGTACAAATTATATTACCTTACCCTTCCGATTAGCATCATTAATCATTCTTGTTTCCGACTCTGATTGCTTCAATAAATGAAGCGTCGATAGGAACGAAACACCTACAGTATACGGAGATTATTTTCAATTTCTTTTATTTGGGCAATTAATTAATTATATATACATTTGACAAGCCGATTCATTGATTCTGTTTTATATCTTGTAAACGACTTCCCGCTGGGATCAGTGAATATTACAATGCGACTCACCATATCATCCTGCATTTTTACTTTGTACCACCTGGGTATCAATACTGTATTAAGCTAATAAGTATATGTTGTACTGTTATTTTAAGCTACATTCTATTCATATAGGTAGCAGTTTAATTATAGTTACAATCTTACAGAAAGTTTACTCCCATCATTAACGTGCACGCGCTTAGTATGGTAATGAACAGCTTATTGATTACGCTTCCGTATATTAATTATCTTCTTAATGATGATGTTGTACTAGTCACAGCTAGAGTCGAAATCGATGGCAGTTTGGTATTCCATGAATGTGTAGGACATGGATCTGCTTATATTTTGTTATCATACTTCACAAACATTCTCAATTTTAAACAGCTTTTAAACCCAGCACGTTAAAATTTCGCTTAATTTATCAAACACATCTACCACAAAGACATTTGTGAACGAACTCAGTTCTAGCAATGAATTACAGATCGGTGGCAATATGTCAGATAAGGTAATCAAATTCTAATGTGAAATGCTAAATCAAGAAGTATGCAGCACGTGCCTCAAGTAAATAGCAATGTGTCTAAGTCAAATATCCGGGCTCACGTCATTTCTCGACACTTGGTTCCTCTTTCGGATCCCACCGCTGCCACCAATTGTCATAAACCAGCTTCGTGACAAGAGTAACGTAAAACAAATCTCGAAATTACTATAGTCTCCGGGATTCAGTATCCCTACTCACAAGAATTTAGACGCCTTTGATTCTACGTTAAAACAGCTATACAATTGAGAACTGCTTTATTCAACTATCTGACGGGCTTATATACCCTTCTACAGCAGCTAACATTCACAAGTCATCTTATAAAAATACTTGGGTGAGAACATCTACTAACTAGTTTTTCACAGTCGGACTACAATATGTCCATTCACAGAATCATTTCAGTACACATTACAGCACAGCAATAAATTTACTGTAACACATTTATAATTAGAGTAATTCCTATTGTAAGTGACTAGTTGTAATATAATATCACTATATTATATTAACCAAATTTAGATATCTATTTCTTCACGGTAGTTCGTACCGTGACATATATGTGTAAGTACTAAATGAGTATAGCTTGGAAAGGTAGCCCGTTGAAAGATACATGTTAAGGGGTATTATCATACCAGCTAACTGCAAATTGGTAATTGGCATAAAGCTGATGTTGCTTAACAAGAATTACTAGCTAGTCTATCAAGCAGTTTCCCTCTGTTGTCAACTACCTTCCAATCATAGTAGTCCTGTAGAGATTGAATAATGTCAGGCTTTATAATGATTCATCAATTAGCTTGGATACAGTTTTCGTTTTAAAGCAAATCGGTAGCATATAGTGGACTTGATTTATTATTAATGGATGTCACGGTATTTTACGAGATAAAAATTGCACATAACTTTAAAGGTCATCTTTAATTAAACTAACCCAAGTTAAACATATTTTATATCAATGAAGATTAATCATACCCGTATGACAGAAAAATGGGTTATAGCTTCCATAACTCAATACAAAATCAAGCACGCTATGATCAAAGATTATAAATGATGATTATGAACTAAAGTGTTGATAATGATAATATAATTGTAAAATCAGTAAGCAAATTGATAAAATATGATATAGCATAAAAGATACTCATTTAGGATTTATTCTTAGTCAGTATGGTCAGTTTAAACTAAATCGTCTAAAAGGTCAATAATGATTTCAGTTACAATTGTTAGGCCGATTTTAAAGCTTCGTAAAGTTCTGCCATATCAGTAGCAAACCATTTAGCTCCATTCTTGACTTTTTCTCTTACTACATTTCCTCCAAAGCCAATAAATGCGTCCTAATTTAAATATTTTGTCGCAAATAATTAACTTTACAGCACATGTAAAAAATGCCAACACTTATATACTCGAGTGGCTAACTAGTGTAAAAGATCATAGAACTTTTACATGCCGATTGCAACACGTCAAGATTATCATTTAAAGTCAATACTTACAGCAGGTGGACATGCTTCCATATCAGTTGCACCGTCACCAATCATAACAACGCTTCATTTAAAATGATACTTAATTAATAAATATCGGTACTATTGTTTTAACGAGGAGAAGAGAAATGATAATGTTCGAGATGCATAAGTATTATTAAAGTACATACTTTTTATAGTTGTATAACGATTTTAGGTGTGCAACAACTCTCGGTTTTCCACCGGATTCAGAGGTCGGTTGAGATTCGTCAAATCCTGCGTATTCACCTAATTAATTGTGTTGTGTATCGTTTAGATCCATGCATAGCACAAGCACTTAAAAGAATCATAACTAGAGGATGATTAATAAATACTCGTACATTACGTAATCTATGAAGGATTGCAATTTTTGGTTACCGTTGTAGAAAAATAACAATCGATTTGCGAAAATGTTTTCGAAAGGTATATTTAAAACTGTGGCAACAGGTTCGATAATAGCTCGTAAACCGCCAGATACCAAGTAGACTTTAGTCCCTCGTTCTTGTAGCGTTCGAACAACGTCACTATTGACGTTAATAATATAATTAATTGGAGTAAACAGTTGATAAGCACTGGCCATAAGTACAGCCAGTATTAATAGAAAATAATAATTAACATTTCTTTTATATTATTCATTTTTACGTCAAGCGCAAATAATTAATTCAACATTTTCAATTATTGACATACTGGGTGGAGCTGTGATAGTTCATGCAGTACTACACCGGATTTTTAGATGAGTATTGTTGATAATTATCATCTAACCTGAGACCTGGGGTTAACTGCGGAGGATTCGCTTCTACAAATTTTTGCAGCTGTTGAAAGATCCAATGATTAATTACATAATATGCACGATTAATAAAGACAGTGCATTGATTGCGTGGATTAGGGAGTTAATCACAAATTGAGTTCTACTTTATCAATTTTTTTATTGCGTGGGGGGGGGGGGTAAATCTAATTCATGATAAAGAGTTCAATTTGTCAAGAGTATGGTGTCTTTGCAATGGTTGCATGAAAATTTCATCTACTACCGTATATAACTAAAACTTATGATTGTAACTTTATCATCAAGGCTATAGAGCTAGTCTGTCATAGTGCATTTATTCCTATGGCAATGGATACTAAATAGACGACTTTATTTGATATCGTAGTTACAGTGAGTAAAATGAACATCGGTGGAATTGCGTGGTAACGCTTACAATATACGAGTGTACTGCACGCTATGAGTTTAGTATTCAAAATCCACTAATACCAGTCATTGTCAAATAGGATGGAGATCAATTAATAGGATAGTGATTATTCGTATTTACTTACAGTTTGTTGGTTGGGTTTAAAGATATCGAGCCTCTGCTTCAACGCTTCTCGAAAAGTGGTAGTGCCACCCATGGCTTTGTTCGTTCTGCAATGAAATGGGAATAATACTGAAAGGTTGATTATGCACGCCTGTAGTTAAACGCTATTTTAATCAATATTCAAATTGAATCGATTGGGCTAAAGTCAACTAGAAGGTATTGGCTGTTTACAGTGTAATATAACGCGAGCAATCGATTAGTCTTGTTGATTAATATCCATTGAATAAGACTGATGATCGTGTAGAAAGTATGAATGGAATGCTAAGACAAGACTATGGAAGTGCAGTATAGAAAGAAGGCTTACAAGTCTTTCACTTGCTCACCAACACCACAATAATCGGCTAACTTGTCCAATCCTTCATCAATACATACGGTACTATCCACATCAAAGCAGACAGCATCAGCTGCTTTCCAAACTTGAACCACTTCTTCTTTGGAACTCATGATGATATCGAGGATGAATTCTATGATGCAAACAGAACACTAAGATTATAAAAATATTGAATCTACTTGCGTAATCTATTCTATTCTATTCTTGAACCGAGGAGGCGTTGATGAAATAATTAGAATAACTATGCTATACTGGAGTACAAGTAGGATTGGTTAGCAGAATTCATAAGGTAAAGTCTAGTACAGTAGCTGAATAATACAAAATGGATACAAAATGGATACAAAATGAACTCGTTGACGATAGACGATGATGATTTACAACTTCCATGTAGGCCAACGATGCCTCGTTCTCACCTTATCACTATTGTGGATTATAATATAGCTGCAAATAGGAACGGGAAGGATAGGGTTGGATGTGGAAGCTTGGGAAAATATCATTCAAATGAGCCGGTCGGCAATGTGGTAAGATGAGGCATCATCAGCATGCGCATGGAGGACTCAGGACTGTAGAGTACAGTAGATTGTACCGTATTGTACAATGTACAGTACAAAGAACATGATGCTCGCGAAGTTTTGGACTTTGCAAAGTCATGCAGACTCATGCTGCATGTTCGCACATGCGTAGAAAGAAGAATCACGGACTGGTAAAAAGAAAGAGACCGGGACATTACTGTATATTGTACCTTAGTGCAAATTGCAAAAGAATATGAAGGCTTAGCATTTTTTCGGTCATTCTACGCTACCGAGGAAACCGTATGGATCACTTCGATTCGGCGGACCTACTCAGTTTTACTCTACTCTACCAGACCGACGTCTAATCCAATTGATCCTTCTTTTCTTTTACTTGCTGTGCAAGTCTGCAAGTAAAAGAGAGCGATGTTTTTTTTTAGCGCTTGCATGATTTGAATGACTGTATTGAAAGTAATTTTTCAAGTGTGGTATGGGACATGATATAGTACAGCTTCTTTAGCAGATCTCTGTGTTTCAATGTCAATATACTGTATAGTATATGTCCATTGTACAGTACAACAGTACTGTATACCACAAAATCAACTTGCAGGTTACTAGCAGCAGCGAATTGATAATCAGCCTGCACATTCTGAATACAGTACAGTATAGCAAACAACTGTTTGCTGTCTTGTCTCTTTCTTTTAGTAGTCCCTGGTACTGTAGAATCCGTCGGCTCCAGTCCTTGGAGGCAGCACAGGTACTGTACAGTTGTACAATACAGTCTGATCTGGTCCCCGGACCCACGGCTACAGTACACAGTACAGTAGTACTGTACTGTACAGTATGCTGTACTGTACGAGTACAGTCTACAATACTATACTGTACAGTGTACAGTACAGTACAAGGACGGTAAAAGAAAGAAAGAAAGCAATGATCTACTGTACTGTCATACTGTACACTACTACCGTTCTACTGTACTGTACAGTACGATGTGAGTTCAATTAAAAAGCCAAGTTATTCAGCTTTATATTCGTATCATTTTTATTACATTTTGATTCACTCTCGTGATTTTAGGGTACCTTAAAGTGTACGACGGACATACGGACGTAGTACTACGTACAGTAGTGAGTGCAGACCATTGAGGTACTGTACAGTACAGTACAGTGTGTAGAATTTCCTTCTACTGTAGATAAATCAGTGAATATTTTTATGATTTACAAATACTGTAAAACCCATAAAACTGTACAGTAGAGTACCCAGTTAAAGTACTGTACAGTGTACTGTACTGTACAGTACTGTAAACTACAGTACACTGTACTGACTTCCAGTACTGTACCGTACTATACTGGCTGTATGCATACTCTTGTATTGTACCGGGTATCATGTGTCATACGGTATAGGACGACTCAACCACAGTTTATAGTACTGTAGACTACTTACTGTACTGCACTGTACTGTACTGTATAGGCATCTAGTCAATGCCAAGGATTCATTCATACTGGACTGAACTGCCAATATTGATTGCAGAACGTCATACGCTGAAGATTGAATTGCAAGCCGTCAGACGCTGAAGATTGAATTGCAAGCTGTGGATATTGTCGACAATTTCTGGTTAGCCGTTGAAGAGAGAATTTCCTCAACTATTCTTTACATTTATTGGAGATCGCGATGGCAATTAGCCCTCAACGAGGTGGAAGGATTTCAGCTGGTGTTGCTGTGATGTCCTTGGTTGGATTGGCGTTATCCGTTTATGCCTTGCATGTTGAGACAACAAAGGAAAGTAACAAAAACTACAAGGCGTTTTGTGATTTTGGTGCATCCATCAGTTGTTCCAAAGTTTTCACCTCTAAGTAAGTACCCACTATTCAAAATCGACATAATACTTCACCAATATTATTGTAGCATGAATTTACTTGGCATTTCATAAATGTCGGTATTCGTCATGGCCAAGATTGGATGCTACATTGATACATGTCCGATGGGACTAGCATTCATGGTCCATTCGACAATGACGAGTCAACTGCATCCTCTTGATAGTATCCGATCAAGATTCAATTAAAATCGACATCCGACTAGGTTTTACACCTTCTACAACAAGCTATAAATACTAGGAAAAAGGGTTGCATTCTACCAATGCTGCCGCAACAGCTGTTTACTTGATATCGATCCCTTCACGGATGTCAGTCTTACTATGGACTAGACAGTGCACAATGAAGGATATCATTTTGATGGTATTCCTATTCCATATTCTACCAAAATTTCAATACCTACTTTCGATTAAATTCTACCCGGTCCATATTACACTAACAATTGTAGTAAAGTAGGTTGTATTAATCTATCACCGCTAAAATACACCTATGGATAGTGTAGACTAACTGTCAGCGAAATAATCACAGCATTCTAGGACTACTGTACAGCACTCCATCCCTACCTATCTAATATTGGCCAGCAATTTCACTGATACAGTACGGTAGTTATGAAATTTTCCTTTCCGATAGCGACCTTGGATAGCGATCCAACAAGTCAAAATAAATTTTGTGTTACTAATTTTGAATGATTCACCGCTTGCTTGTCATTAAGAGTCATAATATTCATTCGGCGGTAAATGGGTACAGTAAGTAATCAATCAATCGGTAAAATACGGCTAGGTTGCTTTAGCAATATTGCACGCTGTCATTACAAATATATTGTACAACGGCATTATGGACAAGGCAATAAGTAAACTGCAATTGGTGGTGAATCTTTCAATATCCTATACCATGAAGAAGACGCAGTCTTGATAAACTTCTGTAAGGTGGTATTCATTTCACTCTATTTTTCCATCACGGTAGTAAATAGAGATGGCTTAATGGTTAATATCATTGATGATCGGTATTAACCCTTCATAATAAGTAATAAAAAGCTAAAATAGTGAATAACATAATTAAAACTGTAAGTTGGCCAACAGCGATCTACGACAATAGGATATTATCCCAATAACTCTGTAATTACAACAATAGATGTCAATTTATTACATGTATCTAAACACATTCAAAGTAGCCAATATCTCTCTCGTTATATTTAATCATCGTACATTATTATAACCTATTCATTGCACACTAAAACAAACGAAAAGATTTATAAGCAATGATTTCACGGTTGATGATATTTTTGTCTAGCCAGGGATGCTACTATCTTTTCTATGTTTTCCTATCAACTATCACCTTTCTTTTGTTCTGCCATTGAGTCATCGGTTTTGCTTAGTAAATTCACCGCAATTTATTTTACATCTGTGCCATCTGTGTTTGTAAAGACATTAATTCTCCCGTTCAAAATGTTTCTAGCATGAATTTACTCATCAAAATAACCAAAGTTCCTATAAAGTAGGTCTAGCAATTAGCATAGTCACAATTAAGCACGAAAAAAAAATCTTGGCGGTGTTTGTCATCTTGCAAAGTAGCACCGATAACAATATTGATTTTGGAAATGCGATCCCTTTGTTGATAGATATTAATCACAATCCAAAATTAGCCTGCATGTAATATTAATATACGGTCATAACGAAACAATATACAATATGTACAGGATAAAACTGGTACGTACTTTTTAGAGTCCAAAGAATAAATGAGACGATATTGCTATGTTTGCTAAATTCAATAACGTACGGTAAAAGTTTGGCATTCCATAAGCATAAAATTGACTGCACATTATAGGTGTATCTGCAGTTTCACTCGAATAGAAAGAAATTAATGGCTAACCTAGATGCCCCGTATTTAATGTCTTATAGCCACATTAAATTCTACTTTAATTATTAATAATAGCCCTTTGAAAAATTGATAGCAAATTCGGTTAAGAATTATGGATATTGTGTAGGTAGCTAGTAGTAGTAACATTGTATTATATGGAATGTCAATGGATATTGTCATAATCTCGGATCAATTTAGTTATCCAGCATTAATAATTAGTTTCCAATATCCTCTGTAGACAACTGTATTCGAGATGGCGCGTGGACGCATTTCTACATGACGATATATCATAAACATCAAGCACAATAAAAGGCCACAGATAACTTAAACAATAGCCAAATAGTTGTTTAATCTTCTTACAATCGTTAATTTTTGGACTTTCTACTATGACACTATTCCTGTATTACAATAATTTGCATTTTAAGCAATAAAGCAACAATTATGCAAAACAGATTGACATAATTACTTCTGACACTGAAGTAGGCGCAATATTTCAACACCTTAAAATATAATGGGTTTCTATAACATACTGTGGCAGATTAAGATGTATAAAATAAGAGTGCTCAGTATTTATACTTTTGACTTTGTAACCATAAAGCTAATTTTATTCCCTTGTCTTTATTTTCTAAGATACGGCAAAGGATTCGGTTTAATCGCTCCTATTTTTGGTCAGCATAGCTCCTTAAATCAGCCTAATAGCATTTATGGAATAATTTTCTATTGCATACAAATATGTCTTGGTAAGGAGTGAATTAGCATTTTTCGTAAAAGTTAGCTTTATTAACATTCATTTATACTGCAAAATAAACTTACATATATTCGGACGTAGCTGACAATTCACTAAATACTAAACAATGCATTCTTTTTTTGTATTTAATTCCCTATATGTATACAAACTGGTACTGGTGGCGGTTAGCCTTTCATCATACTTTAAAGATTACAAGAATCGTTCTAGCAATGTCATTGCTATCGTGTATTGGATCCTTTTATCTAGCGTTTGTTTTAACATTTGTTCTACACGATTTTTGTCTGGTGTGTGTTTCAACATATATTGTCAATGCGGTAGTATCCTTTTTAAATTTTAAACGCATGAGCATTGCTAGACGTCTGGAGCTAGCAAAAAAGAAAGCGTAACCCTTCGCTCTAATTAAATCTGATACATTCAACAAATGCCTAAGATATTTATTGTAACTAACATGTGAACTGGGTAAGAGATATATACTGTATTACCAACGATAGATTATCATGAATATTAGGAAGAAATTAATATATATGCTCATTATTATAGTTCTAGCGCGTCCGAATATATATTATTATTTATTATTAAAACAAATTCTTACTTTTCAGATTTTTAAGCCAAAATAGTACTGTTTCGTTTTATTTGCGTTTAAATCTCAACTTACGTAATAATGCTGTATTGTCGTATACGTAGAAATAATAAAGTGCCCAGTAAACAAGATTATGCACCGCGTAGAACATATTATAAATTATTCAACAGTCTACTGAATTTATTTACTGAATAACAGAACTCGCATCCCTGAGCTAATGCCACGTCAGCAGCTTAGAAACGATTTGTCAAATTGATCACAACTTTATAACACCTACGTAAACAAAAGAAAATGAAGACTTGCTACAATGCTTTCGTAGTCGTTATCTGATGGCTAAGTAGACATGCATATAGTAAATAAAATATTCAGCCGGTTGTACTAGGAATCTACATGTGACTGATGGCTAATTACATAGCATGCATATTACAGGTAACAATTTGTACACATGTATTCGCTTACGTTTCTCACTTATCCACATATGCATAATATTATTACAATTAGCAACGTTAAATCCCTAGTAACTCAATTCTAACAGTTCTAGTTGATTCTACGTACATACAATATCTAACATTTTTAAAATAGATCTTGGGTAGTTCAAGTTAGCATCGATATCAACCAAGAATGGTCATTGATTATCCGCGTCTTCATCATCGGCATCCTTTGTTGCACCGTGACCAATGAGATATCCAACATTTTAAATAGATGAAATAAGCAATTAGCAGTTTCGTCAAAAAATTGAATATATCATAGAAGTGATTATGGAATGAAAAGACGAAGTATAATTGTCTACCTGATTTGTAAATTCTCTATCTTCATCGTATTGAATTGCTGTATCAATTTGATACATGATGGCTTCAACCGAATCTTCCGAATTAAAATTTAGAGCCAGAAACTTAACAAGGCTATAATCTTCTATCTACAAGCATAAGAAAAATATTAGAAGTATAGGGTCGAAAAGGTTACGAACATTAATGTCATTCTAATTCGGTCAACTTTTGGATAATCTACTCAGTACAGTATGTAATAATTATTAAAATTGACATAGAAATTGTTAAATTAGAGCACAATAAACGGTGTTGTGCATATTTTGCAAAAATGTCACCACAACAGTTCTATAATTATATTATACCATTCGAGATATCATTGAATTCAATTTATGAAATTTCTTTCCTCGAAGTTGATCCAGTTCGTCAGCCAAAGACTCGCAATCAGCATTCAGATATCTAACAAAAGATTGCAATAAGTTTATATTTAGTGCATTACTGCATACAGCCACAATTCTTTGTATAAGTATATGCACAATCAATTAATCAGAGTTACTCAAATAATGTACTTCAACTTTCGTACATCTAAATTGTCTAATCAATGCAACATATTTTTTACTTTGCTAAAGCTATTAATAACTGCATTCATGAAGGTTAAAATTATTGCATTATATCGGCTACAGAAAATACAATACCTCTCAATATTTTCCTTATCACCAGGACCTATCAAATCCATTTTTGACATAATGTTAACATGGGGAAGTTCTAAATTGACCATGCAAGACAATGCTGACATTGTACCGGAAATAAATTTTGGAGCATCTATCATGAATTGGGAGTCAACCAGGTAAACAGCACAAGGTCGAATGTCCCACTTTTGTAAATGGTCAATTAAAGTTTTCATAATAGGGAAGTGTGTATAGAGCTCAATTTGACCTACATCAATTTATTAATAAAATAGACAATCGGTAGCCATTGAAAATGGCCGTAGAAAGAGAAAATACGCACTAATTTATTCTTGCGCCTATACGTGCAAGCAGAAATATCCTCTAAATATCACACAGTGTACGTCAAAGCATCATTGACCAACCTGGACAATCAAATAGAAAATAATCGTCTTCTACGTAGCCCAATTTTTCTTCTAGCCAATTTAAGTTATTTAATAAATATCTAAGACAGAAATATGTTTATAATCCATTACATGAGCTGGAATACTATATACTGTATATGCCTGTTATAATTTGGCTATCAAGTTCTTTTGTTATCCAACCGTATTTAATAAGGCATGACTATACGAGACTCCATAAAATACAGGACAGTAGGTAGCAGAATCTGTCTGAAATCATAACTATCTTTAATTATTAAATATCGAATCACTATTGCAGTGAACCTACTCCATGCAAAAGACTAGTCCGCCATTGGGGCCTAAGCGGAGATCTGGATCATCCATAACATCATCCACTTGTATTAGCTCACGAATATCTGCGTAGGACAATTTTACGATTGCAATATGACAATAAATTAGGAGTAGACGAATCATTTGTAGCATGCAGTATAGTAAGTCAATCTTTAATTACTTTTTCTTACCTGCTATCACTGGATAATCGAAATATTCAGCCGCAGGATCTAAATTGACCACATAAATTGAGCGTTTGATATTCTCACAATGTTTGACCATGTTACTACAGTAGGTAGACTGAAAGCAAGTTGTAATATCATCGTTAGTAACAGCCAATACACACCAACACAATAATGAGCAACACTAATGTAATTTAGTCATTTGGTATCCTAAGATAGTATACATAACTCTAGAATGAGATAGTTGGTGTTTAGTTCTTGAAATATAAAGAAGTTGTCAACTCTGCATACGATTACGAGCTTATATGCTTCCGGAATCTATCATTACAATACCTGCTGGTATCTACGTATCACATCTACTTACTGTACACCAAAGTAAAAATCAACTTTAACCATCTCTTCATCTTACCTTGCCGCTACCCGCTGGTCCCATAACCAGTTGTGCATAGCGCATTTTTAACTACTCGTGCGTTGATGTGTTCGTGTGTAATTAATAAGAAAAGATTCTTTTGCTTCTATAATCCAATACCACTGATTTCAATCAATCAGTCATCAGAATTCGGCGCAGAATAGCACTGCCTTTCACTATTTGCAATACTCTACTGTACAGTTCGCAAAGGAACGACCTATCCGCATCACAATGACGCCACGGAGAGTATTAACGTACAAATGATGCTGTCTATCGACTAGATCAATCGAAATTGATTCACTAATCCCCTACAACGAAGTCGGACAGAATGAGCGTTGGCAATAATTGGAGTTTTAACCTAAATCATCCAAAGCCTAGCTGGAATCTGTGGCGACCTTGGTGTTCGTTCGTTTAGTTAACTTCAACGAAGAACGTACAGTGTATAGTACTGTACAGATCTACAGTACAGCGTACTGTACATTGCAGCAGATTTTTGCGTGCATTAAACCTGTCATGCTTGTCATTCAACTCATCGACTACCAATACAAGGTCTTTTTTTACTAGTCTATAGGCAAGGTAAATAGGTTCTCTCTAGTCTACCCGATGTTACGGCCAGTCTTATTCTAGTAAAGAAGTGTCTAAAGGGTGACAGTTACTTTACACAGTAAAAAATAGCATTTTCTACACTATTTTCAATATTGCCTCAGATAGAAACCACCCAAATTGCCTTGCAGGCGATTAATCATTTCATCTACCGGGTCCATCAAGGCGTAAACAGTTTGCTTGATCGATCTTATCCTTAGCCATGGCCAATACGAAGAAGGTTTGTGTAGTTGGTGCAGGAGTAGTTGGGCTGTCTACTGCTTATTGCTTAGCTAATTGCGGTGGGAATATCGAGGTGACAGTCATTGCAGAAAAATTCTCTCCTAATACAACTGGAGATGGTGCTGCTGGTAAATGGTATCCTTCTCATCTCAGTCAAACACCAGAAATCGATCAAAGGTTAACCGATAGTCAAGCTATGCATCCGTAATATTTCATAGCAATCGTCCTTGCTCTGTTCCTATCTAATGTACTGCACAGTACTGTAATAGCTCAAAGAGTAGCTGAATCAGGCGCTAATATTTCGCGAGCTGTAATGGCCTGCTACGATGATGTCATATTTCAGAGGAATAATCTGATTTTATAAACGTAATTGTACAATTAGAAAATATTGACAGAAAAATGAATGTTGAGCATACACCTTCTACCATAAGTTAGGATTATAACGCATCAAACTCTAAGCTTTGACCACCAGGATGGAAATGATTCACATACAGATGTCTATCTCTCCCCGATAATTTTATGTAAACAAACATTCACTTGCGAGCTCTCTCCTCACGCTGCATCAAGCCCAACAGTCTTCATCTAAATAAATTAGTTGGTTTCTGAATAGCTTATCATCACTGCTATCCATTCTGCTAATAATTTATGTATTTATAACAGATATTGCTGCAGTAGAGGAACATCACTTCCAATTTATTAGATAACTACAATTTATCAACGAAATACCATCTACACTAGAGACCCTCTATCAGAGAGGGTCTCTAATCTACATGTTTTAGCCATTGTTTGTGTATTCGATTGAATATTAATTCTCTTCGCTTATCATATCAATAACTACACCGATCAATAGCCATTGTAAATTAGCGTCTATTTTGAATGATTTTAGTTCACTTTTACTAAATTTCTTTTAAGAATTCCCGCAATATATTTTGATACGCAGCCTTCAATTTTGCTGCTATACACTATCTGGTAAATTGTGTTGCCACAATGCAATGTTAACTACTTTTCAATAGCAGATTTCGATTCTAGGATTGTATTAGTAGTAAATTTAAGATCACCAAGATATTTGATGGTAAAATTAAATTACATCTAATTCAATCTCTTATATTAGCAGTGTTGTTTCATTTAGCTTGCATCTAGTTTTCGAACGAGGATTGCTTACATGACTTAGTTATCATCTTCCACAGTGCTTATGTTTTAAGTGTCTTCAGACTATTCTCAGCGCACATTAAGAAAATATACGAGTCAGCTAATTTTTCGCTTTATAAAACAGCGATCATCTGAGAATGTTACTGTCGATTTTTATAGAATCGAAACAGTATCAAAATAGAATAAATTAAGTTAATAAACTCGGCTGTTGTCTAGTGTCCAGTATATCGGTTATTTTGAGCGCTGTATGAGTTTCCACGACATCTATTATGCTTTACACAGATATTGGTCTAATCATGGTAATAACATAGGTCTAATTAATGATAGTACTAAACTTTTACGTAAATGCAATAGTTAGAAGTGATATCTGTATATTTTCCATACAGCACAGTACTGCAGGACCACTACTAATTTTAGTGAGCTATCACGTCAGCAGTTTAGGATTTCATATTGCTGAACTTTCGTATCTACTGCAAGCAAAGCGCCCTTCAAATGATTGATCACGAGCTGTGTATGCCACAAATGACATTTGACTTGGGCGCTCTGCTTCAGATTTGTAAACGTTGATGGTTTCATAACAAGCCTATAGAGACACAAATAGTTTACTTGATCGATCTTATCCTTAGCCATGTCCAATACCAAGAAGATTTTCGTAGTCAGTGCCGGAATAGTTGGGCTACCTACGGGCTTATTACTTTAGCCAATTGCGGTGCAAACATCGAGGTAACAGTCAGTCATTGCTGAAAAATTCGCTCCATATACAACTGCAGATGGTGCTGCTGGTAAATGGCACCCGTCTCATTTAGTCAAACACCAGAAATCGATCAAAGATAAACCGATAGTGAAACTACACATCCGTTTTTTCCAATGCAATTCCCTCTTGCTCTATTTAATGCACTGTATTATTGGAGAAGGTAGCTGAATTAGGTGCTAATACTATACGTTGCATGCCGTGATCAGCCGGTATAGACGCTGACTTGCTTTGATAAAGTTTTGATTCGATTTTCTAAAATTGCATAGTATACGTCCACGTTGATTATTATTAGCAGAGACGAGTAAGTTAACATGCACCTCCCACCGTTTTGATTCGATTTTCTATAATTGCATCGTATACGTCCATGTCGATTATTATTAACAGAGAAGAGGAGGTCAACGTGCACTTCCCACCATATTAATTAGGACCACAAAGTATCAATCATTTCAACTTTTTTACTACCGGTATATAGAAGTGATACAGTACTATAAAATTCACATTAGTTCGAGTATACGAACATCACACTCTGTACACCAGTTATTATTTTTACGCAAACATCCGCCAATCTTCACTTATGGGCTATTTGTTTATGGCCAGATCAAGCCCATCAGTATACTGAGCTTGATCTACTCCATATAAGTCGATTAATTATAATTATTCAATAAGTTATCTCCAGTGAAAGATCCCTCTATCATTGCTGATATGACTTCTGCTAAGGAATTACGCATTAATGCATTCTAAATGTTATGTGTTGATTAGAAGCAGGGATATAAAGATCGCAATAACTTGTCATCACTTATTCAATTTAATACAAATTCTTTTACATTGTATCGCTTTAGTGATTTCAATTATTCACAGTAATTTGTGAGCTTTGGAGGTATAAATAGAAGGAACAGGGTATTCAACTAGTAATAATAACAGTAAGGAATAAGCAGTATGTGATGTAGAATTGCTGGTTACGCTAAAAAACAGTACAGTAATTGTACTGTAGGTTATAGCTATTTGAACAGTTTAAATTTTTGAGTTAGCGGATTGTAAATCTTTGCTGTTAAAACTCATTCATTACAATCACTTTTAAAATGCAGCGTAACATTTTGCAGAATTTTCTATATGCGCGTATTTTCTTTTTGCTAGCCTCTACGAATATGGAATACGTGCATGCTAACTTGTCCTTCTGATTATTACAGGAGATGGGGCTCCATCACCTATCAATGGTTGCTCGATTTAACATTTTCTGATTTAGCTGACTCTGTGGGTGTAAGCTTAGTTTCTGGTTACCACTTTTTTGAATATTATCCTAAGGTAAATTGGCTACGTCGATCACGATACACAGATATCCTCGATCAATAACAGTGAAAATCGATACATCCCATAACTAATAGCCTATCTTTTATTGTATTATTAGACTATTTACAGGCATGATGCTGATAGATAGTGATAATTGAATAAAATAATACTCGTTTATCAGTATAATCATCGTTCAGACCCTAACGGTAATTACTGTACGACAGTTTGTTATAGGCTCCCTTGATATGCAATTTGTTAAAATATGAACACAATTATTATCGTGAAGCATGATATTATGTTACTTGGTGCATAGTATAATATCGAAAAATTTTTGCTACTGTATTTAACTTTATTCTAGCTGTATTTCTTATTATTAGATTGGTAGGTGCTAACTTTCTTAATCAATGGTGCTCATCCTTGTAGGACCCACACTGGAAGGACATGGTACTATTTTTTCGTCGTGCAACAAACCGTGAAATTGAAAAGATTAATGAAAATGGATATTATGTTGTTAAGTATGCAGCAGAAAAAATTTATGCCTATACAATATTTATTATTAATATCTAAACTGAAAACTAGATTACTGTTAATCTTATGTTCGAATTGCAAAGCAATTCGCACCCTATAGCTACAATTAATCTGTTTTTTCAATTTTAAGAACTGGCTGGTTTTACACAACTTTCTTTCTCAATTGCGAAACTTACTTACCATGGCTTATGGCTAAGTATGATTAGCAGTACTTATCGTTGCATTCCTATAATAAGATCTTGAACTAGTGCCAAAGGGTGCATCTTATTTCGGGCAGGTTTAGAAAGTTAGGTGGCAAAGTTATACAAAGACGGGTTGAAAGTTTATCTGAAGTAAGATATGACATCATAACATTCGCTAACATCTGTATCCAATTTTATCCGAAATTTTGAATGATGTTCGACTTTACTCATCTCTTTTATTCCTCGTAGCTTGGCGGAAAGTATGACTGCATTGTTAACTGCAGCGGATTAGGTTCATATCAGCTGGCCGATGATAAAAGTTTATATCCAATTTGGGGTCAGCTAGCTAGGGTAACTGCAATTAGTACTTTTGAATCGACGAATAGGCACTGCACGCGTAATTGTAACACTTTGCTTTATCTCTTCATCTATGGGATACCAAATAGGTCAATGCTCCATGGATAAAACACTTCATAAGCTTTTATTCTAAGGAGAAGAAGGATGCGTACATTATGCCTAGGTATTGACACTTAACATTTCGTAAAAAATTTCTGTAAAGACAGCATTACCGTATACTCCACATAATTGAGCTTTTATAACTGAATTTCTTGACTAATGAAGATGCATTTGTTACTAGGGCAACAGATGTTGTTTTAGGTATATATAACGAACCACATAGGTGGGAAAACAAAGTTGATGACGAAATTCATGAGGAAACGATGCAACGTATCTATTCTGTTATGCCAAGCCTAAAGGTAAATTACGAAAAGTTAAGAAGCATGGTTTATATTATAAAGCTCTGTTATCTATCTGTAGTTATGTAGTAGATAGCTTATTGTGATCTGTTAACTTTGCTGCAATCTAAACGCTATATATACCAATAATTTTATGCCGTAGAACGCTAAAGTAACCTGGAAATGGTCCGGATTGCGACCAGCTCGGCCTGCTGTACGCTTAGAAAATGATCAACTAAATGTCAATGGCAAGAAACTCCCGGTATTTTGCACTTACGTAGCATTCAATATATTTTGTGATACTGAATAATTAAAAACTGAAATTGATATCAAATGACTAGCAGTAATTAATATTATGACTTCATTATTAATAGATCATCCATAATTACGGTCATGGAGGTTCTGGTATAACGTTGCATTTAGGCTGCGCCCTAAATGCTACGAAATTAGTTATTGAAGCTTTAGGAATGCAAAGTCCCGGCATTAACTATAGCTATAACTTTCCACGAATCAGTCAAAACTACAGTAGCAAACTATGAAGTTATTTATGGGTTAAGCCAAGGCTACTTCTTAATTCTTGATGTTAAATTTTTCAATGTTATGCTAACTTAAGATTCTTTATCATAATCTATCATCTAACTAAAATTTATGCTTTAAATATTTTAGTCTTTGTTACCGTAAAATTTCGTTTGCTTTACTAATACTAACTAATAATTATAATTAGTGCAATTAGAGTAAGCTGAAAATTGTCGATCAATAACTCACTCATTAAGGAATGCTTTAATTTTTATGTCAGGTAATTCTATACACTTGTTATATATAGCTTTAAAATGCTGCCTTTTAATTTGCAAGATGATCAAGATTCAATTCTGTTTTGTTTGGTGATATATAGTGAATTCTTGACTAGTTACATGATCCAATAAATAATGAATTCCGTTAGTTATCGTATAATATGACGGTCTATAATGCAATACCAAACAATTAAAGTTAGTAAGAACGGCAACTGAAGTCAATTAAGTAAAAGAACGGGCAGAAATAATATCACTTAACGTACCAAACCAAAGTAGAAAAATGCTCAACTCCCAAATCTTATCAATGATTCTCTAGCAGAGTAAAGGTTGCACTCCTGTTCAGGAAACTATTTCAATTGATGAATAAAGATAAAATGAAAGTGCAGCTTTCAATGAATTCTAAAATTTTTAAAGTAATTATGTACCTTAGTTTTATCTTGGGAGTTAAATGATTACCATTGTAAAGGGATTTGTACAGAAAATAACGATCTATTTATTTCTGTACTGCTTCTTCAAAATTTGTTATTGATATCCCTAATTACTTACTGCGGTATTCTTTTTTTTAATTTTTTAAAAAATAAAACTCGGAAAGCATGATATCTCTACACCTCTAAGTTGCCCTTCCGTAGTTGTCAAATAGGTAATCACTATCAGAAAAAGCTAAACATCTTTCGTGACTGACTTGGAGATAGTAAGTTGAACTGATTTATTAAATTCACATACAAAAGGTAGAAGTACAGAAACACTGGGAAATCCTGGTAAAATATTGAATAAACGAAATGCGCAGATCATGCATAAACTTTATATAACCTCGAAGAATCCCTTATATTGGTCGTAAAATGGTAGCTAACCAGAGGACATAGCTAAATATCGTATATATTTGTCACGACCAAGGTTGTAACACGAGGAGATAATATACGTATATTATAAGTATGTTATTCCTTACCCTCGTCGATAGAGTAAAACTTCTTCGTAACTTGATATAAAGTAGAATTATTCTGTAATAATTATTATTGTTTCTATATGGATATAATTAATCGGTACTAGTCTATCATTTATCCTACAGATAACTTTTTGATCAACGTATATATTCCACTTTACTATAACGTTATATACCATAAGTATAGAGAATACGATCAGAAATCAAATCTTTCTAAAAATTTTGCTATAGTAGGCTATAATAATCTACGCTCTAGAGCATTCGATGAGGCGATACATTTACTTAGAAAATTACGAAATCTACACTAATTTCAAGTCCTATTCAATTATTCAAATTATGTGAACCTAATAAATTGATGGCATATTAAAACTATTTAATATAAATTATGATTTTGAAACATTAGTCCAAATTAAGAGATTCCCTATGAACAATGGTGTTTAGATCAGGATAACGTGAACTATAACACTGAAATACCGACACGGTACTATTCTTTCTATTTGGAGGAGGGAAAGGGTAAGAGAATGCTTATGTTCATGAGAGAATGTGCAAATTTTTCCTTGAGTAGTCCGCACTTATATTAGTCGTCGACAATGAAAACTTTAAGCAAGATTCTGTCGTCACATTACGATCAAAGGTTACCCTCAACCTGTTCCTCATTCAATCGTCGGTAAAGTGAACGTCGATAAATAATCATATTCCTATACACGTATAAAAGGAGCAGCGTTTTCGACTATGATTACCCCACTGCTTACAATTTATGTGCTGTGTACTGTAGACTACTAAATTATCGTAGCATAGTCTGTACTATCCTGCTCAGTAAGGCAGTTACGCAAAGTATCGTGAGCGAGGAAAGGTACTAATTTATAACTAAAGTGGACATTGCTTTCTAACTATAGTATGATCTTAAAGATATCGTGAAGTCGAAACCCTAATAAGGTAGAGCGACCAAATGAGGAAAATAATTTTGCGCTATAGAGCTTTACCACAATCCATAGGATATTGTAACAAACAATTTACGAACAAAGTTAGTCTATGATTGCATTCTAAATTGTAAAACAGAATCTATGAGAGAATTAATACGAAATAGACATCAACGAGCACAAAGGTACGATCACAAAACAGGATGGTCAGTTGCAACTTCAAGTCAGTATTAAGTTTAGCGAGAAAGAGAAATGAAAAGAATGCAATTCTACTAAATAACAGTCGTTTAACCTAGTCTCAATATATACACAATTGCGATTTACAAGAACTACTACCTCCAATAGCGTTGTCTACCCTGTTTAAACTGCGTCATTAGAAGAGCAGAAAGGTCAAATTCTTGATTTAAAAGGTTAGTTCTAATCTAGTATAGATATAGTGCTAGTCTTAATCTAGTCTTGATCACAATATTTTCCCTATCTACAAATAGTGACTTCAGCGAACTGAAATAGTCCAACGTTTTGAAAGGATAATAGTAATATGAAGTAAGAAAGTATGTAGCATGTAGAATGGTCAGTTCGCTATCGAAGAAGTGATGGTAGAGCCGCTACATAGTGAGAGGTTACGGTATATCAAGATAGAGACTTGAATTATAATACTGCTAGAATCATTTTAGAACGATATTCCATCGAAATAGAACATCATAGGTCTGTATTTCTCGATTGGGGGTTGTTCTTGAGTAATGCCCAGAGAGATTTACTGTCTCGCAAGATCATATAAACTATTCTCAAACGTTGCTTCTCAAACAAACAAAATAGCGTATTCTTCTGATAACTGGATGTTAAAGCATGATAGCTACCATGTACTTACAGTGGTGTATCTATTTAGAGTCGCATATCGATTATTTAGAAATCATAGGTACTCAAGATGTTAGTAAATGCATTGGTGAAATCGCAGGCGGTTATGGGCGGACGAACTATATTTTTGTGAAGATGACTGGATAAGTGACTGTCTCAATTTCTGCAAGGCTGGTTCATGAAATAATCACTGAATCGGGTTATTTAGTTTATCGCTTGCCGTAAAATTATTGGACGAAGGCTTTATTTAAGACTCTTCACTATCAAGAACCGTTTGTTAATAAAGCTCAATATCCAACTGATTCCTCTTGAGATATGATTGTAAATTAATCCTCTTATTATATGTTACATATTGGATTTTTGTATCACAAATACCGGTACTTTGAAGTATCTGCTTTATGCTATATGAACAAAATCAATCTTGCAAAGGCTCGTACTACCTTTTTAAATATTTATATTACTGCACTTATCTAGAATATTGCCTATACATTTCATATACCCATATGTTATCATTCTCAGATGATTATACATTAGCAAGATAAGTATCACACGGTGGCATTTAGTATAGCATTTTATACAGGTGGAGGCGGTAATTATTTTACTATACCTCACTATATTCTTATAGCCTAGTAAACTTAACTTTTTTTATCTTACTATGATCATCTATGCTATTAGCTCCGTATTTAAAAAGTAAAAGTAGGAAATACTATTCAGTTGGAATAGAACCAACTCTGTAACACTAATTCTTTTTGGATGATTATCTTATAGTTGTCATCTCAGAATGTTATTAGCTATATGTTGTATGATGTTGTACGTACAGTATGTATAAAGTTAATCTTACAATACTAATTTTGGGGATAATTTTATCTTCCTGTATTGGCATCTCTGAAATTAGCTATGCACGAAGTATTTAATTTAAAATGCAAATTAATATTAAATAACTAGCCGAACTCGCATACCTAGCTATCGATTAAATAGAAATAATAGATCGGCTAAAATACCATAATGTACCGTTACATAGCCATATCTGAACTTTAGATGCAGTGTATATTTTCGCATCTGTCACAGTGTCCAATATCAAAGTTTATTACTTACAGAACGATACAATTTATAGCCCTGTTTGATATCTTTTCCTTGAAAATGAGTAGGAAAATAGATAATGAAGTAAAATAGAGGCTTTTACACAGTCCACAGTATGATCATGACGTCAGCTAGGATAGGATCGGGGGTGTTAAGGATGGTATGTTTAGCGAAGGATGATGGGATGGGCTGTTACTGGTGGAATAAAATTGCAGGTAGTTTAGTCTGAGATCTAGCAATGTACTTATTGCGTTATCTAATTTTTACTACAGTATTTTCGACAATAAAATAAAGTCATAAACTGTTTCTATCCACAATGGCTAAAGTCAAATTACTAAGAGACTATCTTTAGAGTATAAATAGGAAAAGCAATGATTAAAAAAGCTTATCTTAATGATATACCAAAAATCTTCAATAAGAATTTGTTCTGTTAGTGGTAGATAGAGTTTATTAATAAACGATATAAACGTTTATATTATAACCACGAAAAAATTATTTACAGCATCAACTCTTTAGTAAATTTTTTTTCTATCAAATCATATCGGGTTGGAATTGAATATCAGAGATTAGTAATGATAACTGAAAGTTGTTTCTGCCCATGGATCAAAATGAATATTGACTTAAAAACCAAAAGTTATAGACGAATAAGGCTGCATGTATAATAGTAAGAAAAACAACCACATAAAACCAATTTGCTGATGGTGATATCGGAACGCTAATATTCCTGAAAACAGAATTTAAATAAAAATCATCTCCTTCTCTACATTTTCATCATTCGGCAGTAAACTATTGCAATAATTGAATAGAACTTTAAAATATTGTTACTAGAAGCATTACAACGGGAACAGAATGAAAAAATTAGATTATTATTATAATATTTCAATCTGCTAAATCCATAAAGGAACGCAAACTAAATTGCTAGGTAGTCTAATATTATTATAAAGTCATAAATAGAGCGAACCTGTATTTCGTTACAGCGGACGTTCGATATAGAGCTAATACGAATATAGAATCGACGATATATTTCGAAGCTGTTTCAATGTGATTTATCAAGATAAAGAATCCCTATAGTCCAGTAGACAAATGAGAATAGAGATCAAAATAATCTATTTGAAATTTTAATCCAACAACATTTTTGATAGCATCCACAATTCATCTTACGAAAACAATGGATGACTTACTTTGGGATTTAACATGACTATCAATATTATTAGAGCAACATAGATCCACTGGATGAGTTGGTCCAATACTCTAACAAAACAGAAAGGTTATTAGTATTACTAACTTAAGAAAGCCCGAATGTTAGATCGATATTTTAAACGCCTTCTAACTACAAGTATTCGTCAGTAATTAATTACAGGTATACGACGCCATATTTACGTATTGTATTACCTATCTGGAAAATTTCCTTCTTGATATTCGACGTAGTGTGCATCTTTACTAGCATCTTCATCTCCAGTACAACTGCATGATATCTTGGAATTGGTCATCCTTTCTCGAATGTTGACTAGCATGCCACTCACTTATAAACCAATAGCCAAAATACAAATAAATAGAATCACTGGTTAGGATATACATAAAGTTTGATAGATGTGGTCTCGCTAGATTTATTTAAGACTTCAATAAGGATACTTACTCCAGCTAGAAGCAGACATGCCATTTGTTAGATATGATAACGTTGTCGATAACACGATAAATAACCTGATAACTAAGGCTAGCCAAGCATATTGGGGGTAAAAATCTTTTAAAATCTACAGAATTCGATTAAACAAAATAATTTCGTTTATTCAATAACTCAGAAAGGATATTCTTAATTAAAGTTGTCGTAAAAGAAGTAAAAGTGAAGTATAAAAATTAGATTACAGAATTTACGTGCGATTTCTAATATCAATCTATAGTATTTAATAGTAGAGTTAAATACTATAGTTTTGGAGATAAAAATTTTCAAGATAACGATTATACATACGTGAGTTCATATAAAGTAACTCATCGTCTATGCATAATAACAAGGGTAAATAACTATAATTAGAATTATCATTTACTTATTGAATTGTAGAGTATGTACACTATTCGAAGTCTTGATATGAAATCGAAACTATCTACCATAATGTTTACGTATAATCACTTGTAAACTTACTGCTTAATTCTGATGAGTTTGCAGTTGATACCGTGGTAGTAGAATTGTGATATAAATACAAACTATTGATAGTTAATTTACTATAGAATGAAATGTCAGTTAGGCTATAATAATTTAACTGCATGTAGTCAGAGGACGAGCTTTCCAACATCCTAGATCCTACACGATCTGAGTAGAGATTTAGTAACTGTAAGTGTATGTATGGTATGTCCGATACTAATTTAAGTAACTTACAAAATTTTACATTCACGCCAGTTAACACTGGAATTGACTGTAGAAATTTATTTAAGTGCATATGTTTGCAAGCAAAGTAGTAATTACTTAAGAAGCGTACTGAGATAGTAACTCGAAGGAAGGTAGCAATCAATCAGTTTTCTGCGAAGTATCACCGAGAAAATCGAAATCTTATATATCGCTCGTATAAAGACTGAAAATACAAGGGGACGTAGCCAGAGTTATTGTACTTCTACTAGAGTTCTTTGCAAATCTTTGCCAAAAATGAGGATTGTAACAATGCGCAAAGCTGCGATCAATCGTTTGATAGTATTTAATGCTAATAATTCATTATAGATGTTTCTTGACTACTATATCGTCAATTTTTCACATGCAGCTCAAAAAATGTCAAATAGCGTAGGTATGCAATGCAGTGATATCAATAAGGGATAAAAAACTCTACTATAGTTATGTTATACGTACAGATCAATCTAGGAACACAGAATTTACAATACTTACGATCGACAGTGGTACAGTCGAGATTTTACCATTTTCGGCAGCCCTTACAATTAGAAAAATAAATAAGTTATGTTTATTACTTTATGTTATAAATATCGGTTACTGCTACTGTTATTATCAACTTGTCAAACATCATATTTAAAACTTACCATTTCAGAGTTAATTGACATGGTATTCCTGATTCTGTCATATTTGCTAGAGATATTCCATCTCGAATCATAGGGCTACATGTTTGTGGTACTACATACAATACGGCATAACACCTGATCATGTGTACAGTAAATGTTAAACTTGAAAAGTATTGGTATCTGTAGCACTAAATTAGCCTTTATCATGCTTATTCATTTTGTACATAAGAATCGTATCTACTTATTTCGTAAGATACTTTAAAATTAAAATACAATATCTTGTAGACGATGTAATATCCCAATAGCTCTCAATCCAATATTTAAGATACTTATACATACTTAAAATATCCCCTAAGTTATAATCAAATTCTCCTCATAGATTTATAAATTTGAGATTAATAATATTGCAAAATTAAATTATCTGTTTAACTATCGTAGACATGATCATCCAATTTATACATTCAAATTTCAAAGAATTTACAATAAACTACTTTTACGTATTAAGATAAAGCTTTCGATAATTCATATTTTCTATTATACATATATTAGATTTATATCAGTTATTTCTTATAGAAATTAACTACTATTTCATCATTACCATAATATGTTGATAACTCCTGTTGTGAATTTAGCAGCAACAACAGCTCCAAAGAAGATGATAATCTAGTAAGTAGTATTATTTAATCGAAACATTGAGATTAAAATATGTGTATTAATATTTAGGTAGTTAAACAAAGTTATTATTCTGAATATACACTTCATTTAAAGTACTATATGACATCACAACATCCATACCTGTTTTCTGTCATATTGGACATAACTGAAAAAATAAACTAGCGCCCTTCCACCCCCAGCTATAGATTATTGTGAATATTTCGGAAAAGCATTATGGAATTAATACGGCCACTTACACTTAATAATCTTACAGAGTTTATTTTTATTAAGAAACTCGACTACTATCTTTTGTTCTACTATTACAGATTGAAAGTAGTTCTTGATAATTATAGTTGATTATTACTTACATATGCTCAAGAGAGTTAAGAATATCGTATCGCCACTATATATCCAGTTATTTGAAATATCGTTGCCAATGCTTTTACCGATAATAAAGGATATTATAATCTAAAGAGAACTTCAATTTAACTGATGTAAAGGTAAGTTAAATTTTTAAAACCTTAAAATTAGTTTACTAGTAAGATAATATCTACTGTACAAGGCAAAATAGTTAGCAATAGTGAATAAAGATGAGTTAATGTAAAATATATTTTCAGGATAAAAAATTACCATTACGATAATTAAACCACTTCTAACGAATGATAAAGTAGGCAAGATTATCATTAGAGGCTTTTTAAGAAAGATGTAGCAAACAGCTGTTATGATGATAAAGATAGGGGCTATTGTTTCTGCGCTAAAGATAAGATAAAGAAATTATGATGATGAAAGATTATTCAGTAAATATATATGTATATCCTATAGTATAATTGCTACACAGCTTAAAAGACATTGGCTAAAGAATGGAAATATTTCACGGTTAAATAATTTTGATACAAAATACCTGACTAGAATAAGTCCTGAATAAGCTTGGCTAGCGGCTAAGGCTACGATAATACTCCATAGAAAACTGTGAATAATAAAGTTTAACTTTAGTTATCGCATTATATTTAATAAGATTAAACAAAGATACCGTCTTGCATTTCATTATATGTATTTTGATTAATATTGTTGTCAAACTCTATTATACGCTTACTTATTCTTGTATAAGTATATTCTACATTTGATAAAATTATAAATATAACTAGCGCAATTTTAATAGCTGTAATATCTGCGCTAAGTATTAAGTGTAATTTACTTCTTAATCTTAAAATGACTGCAATTCTCTTCCAAAATTAGGACCTCAATAAAGAGTTATATACTAGGAGCTTACTAATAACTTTCAAAAGTTTTACTGTATGTAAGATTAATTAGGATCATAGTAGTCTTTATATTTATGTAATGCGCGTATATCTGTTGTTCCCGGAATAACCCAGTCTTAATAATCTGCTAGCATGATGTTACAAATGAAAAGTTAGTTAGTATTATTGTAAGAGTATATCCAGGCTATGCCGGTAAGTTCCGATACATTTTCTTCTTCTAGCACATATTTACTGCAAGTACTGTAGTATTTGTAGCATTTTCATAATACCAGGTCTATGATATTAAATTAAGCTAGAATTATTGTCTCCATGACTTTAATAATTAATATTCTAGAATTGCATCATTTTCTTTAATAATGTAACTATCTTTATTAGTAATACTGGCATTACCATACTGTGCCAAATACATGTATAATGTATCAATTAAGACATTTAAAAATATTATATTTTGTACTTTTAATTCTATACTATCACTTTAATAGATACTCTTAATAACTGGTTTAATATGTAATTTAATTAGTACTTTTTAAATAGATAAAACTATACATTTACGGTAATATCTCCCGCAAACAGATTTACTAATATTAATATTGGACAATAACGTTAAACCAATTAGCTCATTTCGTTATTAAAAGCTCTTTACTTGACGATTTAAGGCAAGAAAGAAAGATTTCTTGGTACGTATAACTAAGTGTATGTCAATATAATAATTTTCTAGTAAAATAATTTTATACACTACGAATTCATATCCTATTTTCTCCTTACTATTTCAGAAGCATAATCAAGTCAAAAGTAATCCGTAGATATTTAGGTAGAAATAAGGCGGAAAGGAGATGGGTGTTGACATTTTTGTTTTTATCGATTTTTTCTCTCTGTTTATCATCCAGTACGATTTCTTCAGATTCTGACTCATCATCTAGAATCTAAAAATGAATATCAAGCCATTAAATTATATCCGTTATTGTAATTGCCAGTCGCTTTACTAAATTCAGTAGCAGAAATATTGAATTTATGCTATCTATGTATAAACTTTAGAAGTACTATGTTATACGGTTGAAGTAAGCGCGTAAGTATCTGATTAAAGCAATTTCATTCTAAAATATAATCTTAAATGTAACTTAAAATATGAAGATAACAGATTGCAAGCTAGATTATTTTTATTGGTACTGAAATTATAGATCAGTAATAATTTTTATTGTATGATGACTTACATTTTGGCTTTCCTTATGAAAATATTTGATAGCAATAGCTTTTTGAGTGATTATTAAAAAGGTATAGCTGACCATTACCTGTTGTAGCGATATCCAGGAAAGAACATCATTACAGCTTAGTCTAAATAAGGATACACATAAATACTCAAGAATACGATTTATTTTGAAATCTTGGCAATAATTTCTGAAGCAAGAATATTATTGCGTTTTTAGATATACAACTTATACTTATGGAATTTTATTCTCACGTTATAACAGTCTTTAGCTCGAAATACTAGACTACAAATTTCGAATCGGATAGCATGCGCACACGATTATCACTTATGAGCACTAACATTAATGTATCTGTCACAAACTTATGTTGCGAACTACTACACTAAACTAATTGATTACTTATGCCTTGCTCCACTACACCTGGAGATCTACTGTATGGTAGTTCTTTACTACTTTCGGTCACACAGGGATAAGACTGTTCTAAAAGATCAGTACAGTTTTTATTAGTAGAGTAGCCGAGTACCTTCTCGTACACGATCTAATATGATCCATTAGCTAAATACTGACAAAATCTATTTAATTAGCAAGTACGGTGCTTTGCTCCGTAACAGTATCAAATATAATCTTGCGTAATTTTAAGTCTTAAATCTATACCATAAAACTATAAGAACAGGAGGTTTTACATAAAAGAATCCGCTGTGTTTTTTAGATGTCTGTAAAATTGGAATAGCAGAAAGTTTTAAACTAACTGTAAAATCAAATACTTTAAATTGTACAACAAGTATAATACTACGCTAGTAGGATTCCATAACAAGTAATGTGTTGATTACTTGAAACATTAATTTTATGTTGTAATAAGTATGAAATTAATACGATTCCCAAGACTCTAGAGTCAGTTGTCGGAGTATCGTTAAACTAATATTGAGAATTTCGTTTGATAAAATACTTTTTAGCTAGATCGGTTTACCGCAACAGAATAAAACTAAATACAAAACCCATGCGATACAATTCGCAAGGCTCTTCATGTAATGTGATGACACAGCATCTCTAGTCTAAAATGACCAGGAACTTCATCAGTTTTTATATTAGTACTGCTGACTTAAATTAGGTACAAAAATCCATACAATTTCATTTGCAAGACTCTAATTAGATGTCAGAAATCTTCAAACTTAAATTAAGGATTTTATTGAAGAGAAATTTCATCAACTAGATGAGTTTAAATCAATAGGCTTTAAAGCTTAAAGTCAAATGCTCACGCCACGGTACGAACTACTGTGAAGAATTAAATGGCTAAATTCAGCGAACATTTATATATGGTGATTACAGTTATTTGCTTACAGCAGGAATTACTGAATCGATAGTTTGCTACGATAAATTATATGTTGTACAGAAAAACAATTCATATAAAGTAATTGAATACAGTACAAGCTCTTGTAACTGTAATTATGATTAATGCAACGATGTAGGTGCATTGAGATCACTCTGTGAATGGACATACTGTAGTCCTATTAGGTAAAATCAGTCTGTAAATGTCCTTATCGATAAATATTTTTGTGAGATGATTCATCAATGTTAGCCGCCACCGGAAGGTATTTAAGTTTAGCTGATCATTGAATAATAACCAGTTCTCTAATTGTGTAATCTAGAAACAAAAGCATCTATGTTCTTATGAGCAGTTAAGGGATTATTAAATCCCGAAAACTTTCGAAATTTTAGAGATTTGCTTTTACATAATCATTGTCACAAAGCTTGTTTTTTACCAGCTTTAGAAATGTAAAGATTTATTTCTACTTAAACCTTGCTGCAAAGCTGGTTTGTGACAGCACATCGCCATCGCCATCAAGTATGTTTGTTAACAATGATCAGATCGAATTGAAAGTTCTAGACTAAAGGCTATGAATGAAATAGATCGCATAACGCTATCTTATATTGTAATATATGTTTGTATATTTTTAGACTTTCGAAATTGACTATTTGATTCAACAATCTTAATTTATAAAATAATTTGTGTAGTAAATCAAACACCAGATGTACAATAATCGATATTGAAACTCTATTACTAATTTACCGATGTAAAGTATTTCTGTAAAATGCAGAACTGATTAATTATCTGGAGAATTTGAGCAATCTGACATTAGATATTACCAGTCTTTGATAGTAAATTAGCTAGAAATAATGTCGTCTTGTCAATAAAAGCGTTTGAAAACTTTACCTCTAAGATGAATGAGAATGCAGTTGTCACGATCATTGGTTGAATTCCACTTCTATGTAATGAATTTGGTAATCCTAAAGATTTATAAATTAACATAAGTTATTGATACGTACTTCTAATCGTACTGCTATGTTCTGGCAGTTACCTTATGTGACGTGATACTATCTAAACTAATATTATTATATAATACAGTTTTATATGTAGTATATTATCTTATGGTACATTGTGTATAGACTATAAAATGAGTTGTTGGCGAATGCCATGAGGAATTGTGACTATATAGGCAATCGGAGCTATATTAGTACTTTGGAGTAATAAAGGTCCCTATTTCTATGATAAAAAGGGTGTTTGTATTTCCTGAGAGAATCCTTAACCTCCCTAGTATCCAGTGATCGTAACAACTGTGAAATTGACTTCGACAATAATTTTCTGCGACTTGGAAATTTCAACAGCAAAATATTTCTATTGCTTCTTTACCTAAGACTCCTATCCCTTGAAGGATGGCCACAAAAATGAAATCTAATTTTTAAAAACATGAATAGGTTTTAGTTTTACTGTGTCAGCTGTAATAGTAAAAGCTGTAAATCAGATAGTTGTAGTATTATATATCAGAGTACGCGATGAACTAACACATTTTTAGAAAAAATAGCCCATTCCGAAAAGTTAAATAATTGTTATTTGATATT